ACCTACAAAATACATATCAAAACCGTACTGAGAAAAACCTACAGCGTCATGAAACAGATATACCCATTAATGGTAAAAGGTTCTACAATTAGTAGCCATAATAAATAAAATGATACTACATCCTACAATAACATATGCTGCAGCGACGTGGTGTGGTTGCAGTCTTATCAAAACAAATGTTTGAGATTAGCCCTGAACAAAAGTAGGTATGTCAGAATATCCGACTTACACGAACAAGCTCATATACCACTGATTAGAGATTACATAATGGAAACGGCAGAAAAATTCTAGAGCAAACAACTAAAACATAATAGGCTAACAGAAAACATCACTAATATCAGATACATGCCAATAAACAGCAAGTATGAGCAACCATACCAAAAACTGAAGATTTTTAAAATACCAAAGGAATAAATATTAACTAATATATTATATAACTAATATATTAACTAATATATTATATTATATTATATAACTAATATATTAACTAATATATTATATTATATATTAACTAATATATTAACTAACATATTAACCAATACTTGAAGTCACAACCTAGAGGGCTCTCCAATTAACATAAGTAGGTTTCTCCTCTACAATTTAAGTTTTCCTACAAGATAGTTCCACTTTAAGCCAACAGAAGCTGTTAACTACAAATATGTTCGACAATCCCTATACCAAACCTGAGCACAGAGTGACTCAGAGTGCCTTCACGATTCTAAATAGTAGGTTAAGCTTAGAATAAGCAGGTACTACCAATGTAAACTATTGTTATATTTTATTATGTACATAATCCTATTTGTGATAAAAGTGTTTAAAAACAAAAAAAAAAAAAAAAAAAAAATCTTTCGCCCAACGCGAAACACGGCGATCGCCATTCGCCGATCGAAACCGCGTCCCGCTGAAAATTATTTTTCTCTTTTCTTTTTTTCTCAGCCGAGCGGGGCAAAATTGATGGAATCTGACGAACGCGAAATGAAAATTCTTCTTCTCCGCGGGAATATCGGGAATCGGATTACGGCGTTCCCGAAACTTCGCGAGTGAAACGCCAGCCTCGACGCGAAGGGAAAAAGTGTTTTTAGAAATGTGCAAAAAAAAAAAAAAAAAGAAAATATCGTCGCGCGTAGAAAAACGTAATTTGAACTGTTTTCTTTTCTCATATATGGGGGTTTAGAGTCTACGCATCGACTACGAGGTGTTTAGCGACGTGCTGGAATTTTCTCTTTATATCTGGTCCAGTGGTTGGATCTCCTTTAAATAGTTGATAACGTTTCTTCGTTTCTTCTGACAGGTCAGAGCGATGTTTCTGTTCAATCCGTATTTACTTCTTAGGTTTCGGTATTTCCTGCGTTCATGTAGCATTCATGTTGGGTGGTGATTTGTTGGTTGCAGGTGTTGCAGAAAGGTGGTTCTGTTTTGATTAGGAGGTATTCGTGCGTGATATTGGAGTGTCCGATTCGAAGTCTAGTCATAGCTATCCTTTCTTTTCTGCTTGTCGTTTGGTATTTTTTTGGTGGAAATGGTGTGCTATAATGTCGTGTATTTCGGTTCTATTCGTCGTAGTCCAAATTCTGTTCCATCCTTCTCTTTCAGCTTTGGTCGTTGAAGCTAGTAGGTCTTGGTGTGGGATTTGGGATGTTGGATTCGTTTGTTCGGTCTGTTGTTGCTTCTTTGGCTAAGGAGTCGGCTTTCTCGTTTCCTTCTATTCCTTCTATTGGTGTGACGGGATCCAGGTGATTATTAATTGTTTATGGTCGTTGGTAAGGTTGTCGGTGTATGTTTCCTGAATCATTTGTATGACCTCGTGCTTTTTGGTGGTATTAGTGTTTGTCATCGCGAGAGGAATTCTTAAACTGCCAAACTTGATTGCCAGAGGGAAGAATGTAGAAGGGACGTTTGATTTTTGCAAAACATTCGAGGCGAGGAAGAAAGTAATAGTACGCGACAGTAGAATTGAATGGGGCGATGTTCGGTACAAGCTTCTTTTACAATTGATATTGTACTCATCCTACTTTAACAATTTTTAAGTGTAACTTATGTTACTGGTCACACGTTTATCGCATGAATAATATAAAAACATAGCCTAATTGACAGTCGATCATCGAGCAGAAATTTGTACGAATATTTATTGATTCGGAACATCTAATAAAATTCAAATAACTTTTCGTTTACAACGTGCGTGAAATATTAAAGCTGATCGTTAATAAACGACGAATTGTTTGTAAATCAAATTGCGACACGCAATTACGTATATATTAAATTTCGACGATGACTCGCGTTCGTTGCATTATTCATCAACAAGAATCAATAAATAATAATTCATCGAGGATTATAATTTGCCGCAACGGTTTCAAAATATCATGATCCCACGACAATCGAAACGAAATTAACATACAAAATTGTACACGTACGTACGTAGAAAATAACCTGCGTTACGCGCAAATTGAAGGGAGCCGCAAGTTGATTAATTGTAATCGATTCCCCCTGAAAAGAAAGGAAAATAGAACGAAAATGGAACTAGAGAAAGTTGTTTCTATTAATTTAAAAAGAAAAACAGAAAAACTCCGCCAAGGAACAGTCGATTTTCTTTAAAAAGAAAAAAGGAAAAAGATAAATAAAACGAAAATGAAACTGGAAAAAAATATTTCTATTAATTTAAAAAAAAAAAAAAGAAATCCGCCAAGGAACAGTTCGACCAGTCGATTTCCTTTAAAAAGAAAGAAAAAGCAAAAAAGGAGAACAAAAGCGGAACTAGAGAAAAGTATTTCTATTAATATTTCTATTAATTTAAAAAGAAAAAAAGAAGAAATCCGCCAAGGAACAGTTCGACCTGTCGATTCCTTTTGAAAAAAAAAAGAAAAAAAGGGAATAAAACAAAAATGGAACTGGAAAAAAATATTTCTATTAATTTAAAAAGAAAAAAAGGAGAAATCCGCCAAGGAACAGTTGAGTCAGTCGATTCTCTTTGAAAAAAAAAAGAAAAAAGGAAAATAAAACGAAAATGGAACTGGAAAAAAATATTTCTATTAATTTAAAAAGAAAAAAAGAAGAAATCCGCCAAGGAACAGTTGAGTCAGTCGATTCTCTTTGAAAAAAAAAAGAAAAAAGGAAAATAAAACGAAAATGGAACTGGAAAAAAATATTTCTATTAATTTAAAAAGTAAAAAAGAAGAAATCCGCCAAGGAACAGTCGATTCCCTTTGAAAAAAAAAGAAAAAAAGAGAATAAAATAAGAATGGAACTGGAAAAAAATATTTTTATTAATTTAAAAAGAAAAAAAGAAAAAATCCGCCAAGGAACAGTTGAGTCAGTCGATTCCCTTTGAAAAAAAAAAGAAAAAAAGAGAATAAAATAAAAATGGAACTGGAAAAAAATATTTCTATTAATTTAAAAAGAAAAAAAGAAGAAATTCGCCAAGGAACAGTTCGACCAATCGATTCCTTTTGAAAAAAAAAAAAAGAAAATAAAACGAAAATGGAACTGGAAAAAAATATTTCTATTAATTTAAAAAAAAAAAAAAAGAAGAAGAAGAAATCCGCCAAGGAAACAATTCGACCAGTCGTTTCGTTTAACAGCCCCTCCAATTACACTCAGAATATTCTTCGTCCAACTGCCCAGCACGTTTTCCTCTTTTTCACAAAAGCTTCGGCCAGTTGGAACATCGAGCCACTTTCTCAAAAGTGGTCATAAAGAAACTTACACCGGAGAGACTGTGAAAGCTCGAGCAACTATGAAAACCTGAATTCCGCCAAGCGTTTATCGCGCCGTCACGTCGAAACGACAATTTGTACCAGAGCCTTTTGGCCCAGTATTATTTTCGATTCGAACGGCTGGTTCGCAGAGTGAAGAAAGAAAGAAAAGGGTAAAGTTCTTTCGACTCTTTCTGCCACGAGAAGACATAAAATTCCATAAACACGCTGCTAAATTGCTATCCTTTTCGAAACGTTAGTAAAGCCACCGATTCTCTGTGAGGCAGCAGAAATATAAATATAAAGGTGCAACATCGGCGGTGTTTGCGGAATGAGTTTGTTAAGAGAGTTGGCAAGATCAATTTCAAGTTTGCGCGCGAGATAATGCTTACGGAGGAGGAGGAGGGAGAAAGTGACTGGTTGAAAAAGGAACACCGAGCAGCGAGAGAAAAGTTTGCGAAAAAAAAAAAAAGAAACAGTCGTGCAACTTCTGTTTTTAAAAAAAAGAAGAAAGAAGAAGAGAGAGAGAGAGAGAGAGAGAGAGAAAGAGAAAAAAAAGAGGAAACAGTCGTTTGGAAATAACGATAAATGTCAGGAACGTTTTTACGAAGCGTTCATTAATTTCACTTCGCAATTTCACGCCGCGAAGATGGGGTGTTTTAGAAAATTTTTAAATTAATTAAAATTCTTCCTGTCTCCTTTAATTTAGCGCTTCGAGCTCTTACGAGGGGATTTAAACAAGTTTCGAAAGAAAATTTAGTTACATATTGAGCATATCGGGCAAAAGTTCCGCCCGATATAAAGAAGAAATTACTACTTGAATACAGCGAGAGCTATATTCAGTTAAGAGTTTGAGTTAAAATTCGCTCTGCTTCTTCCATTTTACGAGCGATTGGTTTAACAAATGCTGAGTGAACGGATGCTTCGCAGTCCAACGAAAAATAACAGAATAACTAGTTACTAACGTTATTAAAATAAATAAATAAACAAGTGTAGTCGATCAATATTATTACTAGGTACTTATATTTACTATATATTTTATATTAGGTACTTATATTTACTATATTTTATATATTACTATATATACTTATATATATATAAATATAAATTTAATGTAACATATATTTATATAGTAATATATAAATATATATTTTATATATCACTATATTTTATATTTTATATTATTATTATATATACTATATTTTTTTATATTTTACATTAGGTACTTATATTTACTATATATTTGTTACTTATATTATTACGAGGTACTTATATTTTACAGTATATATTTATATTTATAGTTACTCTATAGAAGATTATTTATTTATATTTCATAAGTTTATTAATTGTAAGAATAACTTTGGTAATAATTTTTTATGGAAATATTTCATTATATCTTTGGTAATAATTTATTACTTTGGTAATAATTTTCTATGGAAATATTTCTTCTTATTGAAATACTCCATTTAATTTATTAAATATAATTCATTTGATATTATTATAGTTATATATTCGAGGTGCTTTAGCTCGAATTCGATATGATTATCTAATATACATGTTGAATAGAATTATTAATTTTAATTTCATATTATCCGTATTATCTGTATATTTTATATTATCTATATTATCTGTTCGTACCTGTATTTATTATCGTTTTGCACTTTTCAATCTCACACGGCACGTGTCTCACTTTACCAGCAAGATTCATCAGATTATTATGTATTTTAAATAAATGTAAATTGTATTCTGTGTAAATTAAGCATCGTTAAATGGTTCTCTATCTATCGTTTGGTAATCGTTTCGCAACGAACAGCGCCAAGAAAATTCATCAGAATCATGTATCTCAGCTAAACGTAAATTATATTTTCATGTATCGTAAATTAAGTTTCATCGTTTAATTAATGCATCTGCTCTTGTCTCTGTTATTTATAACACGTTTCGCGCTTTGTATTTATAACACTTTTTCAGCGAGAGTGGTCGCCGAGAACAACATTGTCAAAACCTTGTCAGAGCGTACTGGCTCGAGCTTTCGAAACGTTTGTTAACCAGCAATGAAAAGCCCGGTTTCGCATAGCCACGGACCATTAACAAAGTTATAACGACGACCCCCCTCCCGCCTCCCCCCTCCCCCTTATTCACCGATATTCTAAAAGTTCTGCCTCGCGGGATATTTTTAATGGCGCTAACGCATTTTCCAACGAGCCCTTCGCGCCGCTTTTTCTCCAATTTACGTGCAAATTTCCTTCAGGCCCAGGCTTTTTCATCGAGAATCGTGAAATGAAAATCTACGCTCTCGGGTGGAAAAAGAGGACCGAACCACCTGAAGGCCTTCGGTGGCCTTCGGTGGCCGATCAACGAAATTCCAACGGAAACGAGATAAATAAATTACATTACGTCGCGTGAATTTAAACGAAATCGCAAGGAGAGACGAGTCAGCCAGCTTTCTCGGGGAACGAAACGAAACGGACAGATCGTCTTCAACGGGTTCACGTGCAATCGTTCACGACTAAACGAAACTCTGTCGGGGGCGGAGGGGCTCATTAGCAAGTTCTTAGCGACGTTGGATCGAGTATTCCGCCGCATTCAGTCCCGTCTCGATTACAAGCGATCACTGTCGCGATGTTAATTAACTATGAAACGCGTTCGGAATTATCTAAGACGTTCTCGTTTCACATTCAAGACGCTCACGATTTTTGAATGCAATTATTTACGGCGTTTTTTTACTCACTTTTGTTACATTCACTACTTTCATTTACTTTCATTTAATTTCATTTACTTCAGTTTACTTTTATTTAATTTTATTTACTTTTGTTTACTTTTATTTACTTTTATTTATTTTAATTTATTTTAATTTACTTTTATTTACTTTAATTGACTTTAATTTGCTTTTATTTAATTTTATTTAATTTTATTCACTTTCATCTAATTTTATTTACTTCAATTTACTTTTATTTAATTTTATTTAATTTTATTTACTTTTGTTTACTTTTATTTATTTTAATTTATTTTAATTTACTTTTATTTAATTTTATTTAATTTTATTTAATTTTATTTACTTTTATTTACTTCAATTGACTTTAATTTGCTTTTATTTAATTTTATTTAATTTTATTCACTTTTATTTAATTTTATTTACTTTTATTCACTATTGTTTTATTTACTTTTATTTACTTTTATTTAATTTTGTTTACTTTAATTTACTTAACATAAGGTAATATATATATATATACATAATTATATTATATATGTAATAAATATACATATATAAATAAATTCATATACATGTATATATATATATATATATATATATATATTATATTCATATATTTATATATATAAATAATTATATATATTATATATATTAGTAATATATATTAATTATAGTAATATATATTAGTAATAATTATATATATTAGTAATTTGCTTTTTGTTATACCTTGAATTTATTAGCTTTCATTTATTTTTGTTTTGCAATTCTAATTAGTCCTCTCAATACTGTTTTATATATATATATCACTGAAGTAAATGAATTCCCACACAAAATCTGCTCCATACACCAAACAAATTAAATTTGTTCCGATGTATTTGCAAAAATTTGTTCAAATACATCGGTAGGCAAAGGGGTTAATTGTAACGTTACAAACTGTCTCAAACACTGAGCGTGTCTGAACGAACCTCGGAACAAAGCAGAATAAACCGATCGAGCAGGAATTAATTGAAATCCAAGCTCTCCGAAAGGGAAACGGCTGACATCAAATCGGAAGACCTACGCCTGAGATTAGGACTCTCGGATTGCCACCGTCCCCTTGTGATTAACGCAAGTGCTGTTTCGTATTAATTCATCGCGGCTTGACGGCACACCGTTGACCTAGAACACGCCTGTACAATCCTGCAGTGATCAAAAGAGATTGTTCGCGGCCGTCTTCGAAAATCTTCGAAACGCACGCGGAAACTTGACGGATGAATTTTTCAGAGCGTTAAAATGCGTGCAAATTCGTTTGTATGTAGACTTGGTATTTCGTAGATACTTTTCAGTGGGGACAAAAATTTGGAACGAACAGAAGTTTTAACACTAGAACTGAAGTGTCTAAATATCTGGATCGAAGAAATTCAAGTGCAAGGTGGAAGAAAAAGTTGATAATACAGTAAAGAACACAAATATCTGTTAATATAATTTTTTAATATTAATATTATTTTATTATTAAAATAATATTAATATATTATTATTATTAAAATATATAAATAATGATATATATTTTAATATATTTTTAAAAAAATATTAAAATATTAAAATGTTAAAATAATAAAAATATATTAAAAGAAAATATTAAAATGTTAAAATAATAAAAATATATTAAAAGAAAATATTAAAATGTTAAAATAATAAAAATATATTAAAAGAAAATATTAAAATGTTAAAATAATAAAAATATATTAAAAGAAAATATTAAAATGTTAAAATAATAAAAATATATTAAAAGAAAATATTAAAATATTAAAATAATAAAAATATATTAGAAGAAAATATTAAAATATTAAAATAATAAAAATATATTAAAAGAAAATATTAAAATATTAAAGTAATAAAAATATATTGAAAGAAAATTAAAATACGAAAATATTATTAATATAATTTTATTATTAAAAATCACTCGAGTGCTGAAACATATACTGTATAAAATAACAAGTGTATAAAATAATAAATTGGTCATTTTGATTACTTTTATAGTTCCAATGTTAAAAAGCAATTTGATATTGAGGGGTGAAGCGAGAAGAATCATTGAGTTGCACTACTTGAGGACATGTTGGACCTCGAAACCGCTTCCTGGCAAAAGATATAAAAGTACAAGTGTAACTTGATATTGTTCGTTCGTCGTTTGCATACTTTATACGTTAAGCATTCGGTATTTTATAAACGATGACGTCAAACACATCTGCGTCAAATGTTGAACATTTGCAAGTCGTGATTTTTCCGTGGACTGCGGATTTTTATGCATTTTCAAAATTTTACGAGTCTCGATAAACAAAAATTGAATAGAGTAAATAGAAATTCCTTTCTGTCACTCTGACGGCAAACGCTCTATTTCCAATATTTTACGTACACAGTCGATCCTCCTGTAACACGGGTTTATTCGTTTATTCGTTCCGTGCTGCATCGAAATCGCGCTGGCGGGAGCTTAGAATACAGAAAAAAAAAAAAAAATACAACGTGGTGAAAAAAATTCATGCCATATGAGGATTGTCCAAGTATATTAAGTCGTGTATAGTGTATAGTATACTTAATAAAACTGTGTTTTATCAAAATATCATGTTACAAAAGGCCTTGTACCTTCGCAATTTTTGCAACTGTGTTTTTGGAATACCGGGTTGATTGTATTTATACAGGGTGTCCCACGACTCGATCGTAATCAAACGACTGGCGATTCTACGTGTAAAAAGAAAAGAATGAAAAGAATTTTTCGTCTTTATCTTGAAATCTTCGTTTTCGAGGAGATCGCCGAAATTGGAAAATTTATCGAGAATATTTGAAAATTCGAATGTATCAAATAAATTTAAATATAAATATTAATGTATCAAATAAATATAAAATACATAAAAATACGAAAATATAAATATTAATGTGTCAAATAAATATAAAATACATAAAAATATAAATATTAATGTATCAAATAAATATGAAATCGATATATTATGATCTAAATAAAATAATAAAAAAATTTACAAAACGTGTGTTTGTACAGGGTGGCCACTGAAAAACTGAAAGGTTTGGAAAAGCCATAACTTGTTCACTTTCAATCCTTATTTTCTATTTCTTCTTTTCTTTTTTTTTTTTTTTTGTAGATTATAGAGCATTCCCTGGAGATTAAAAATAGAAAAAAAACATAAAAAAGAAATCCATCAATTATATTATGATCCAAATATAATAATTAGAAATTAAACAAACGTGTGTTTGTACAGGATGGTCACTAAAACACTGAATGACATAAAACAAAAATAAACACACGTTTTTTCTAATTTTTTATTATTTTATTCGGAAATATAATTAATGAAAAACACTTTCCCTCAAATGAACCTAAACCTAATCTAACCTAAACTTTTTAGTTTTTTTAGTGACCACCCTATACCTTATGCTGCGTCACGTAACACACATATACACACACTTGTGCCTTAGGTGTGTGTGTATGTGACGCACGGTCCACGTTATCAAGCGCGCTTCGTCCATTGATCAGCCGATCGAGATAATGGGGGATGATAACACGACGGTCGCGGCCTACCTCGTCAGCTTCCGGTCGGCAGATATCGCCGCCAGATCGCGAAGATCGACGGACCGCGGACACGTATGTATATATATATATATATATATATATATATATATATATATATATATATATGTATGTACATACATACGTACATACGTGCTGGAAACTAACTGTTGTGAATCATCATCGTTTCGTTGTGTACGCCGCGCAATGGTTTTCCATTCGATGAAACGCCGAGACGCCGACTGTTAATTAGTTCACCGCGACGATATTATATTTTCATCCGTTAAATTAACGTATTGTGTGACACGGGAGCAAGTGTCTTATAATGGTAGAAATTTTAATTGTAATTATATACTTTTTTTGTTTTTACTTGACAATTGCATTTTAAACTTTTTGTAAATTAAGAAAATTGGTGTTATTTTATTAACTTAAGGAAATTGGTGTTATTTTATTAAATTAAGAAAATTATAATATTATCATTTTATTAAATTAAAAAAATTATAATATTACTATTTTGTTAAATTAATAAAATTATAATATTATCATTTTATTAAATTAAGAAAATTATAATATTATTATTTTATTAAATTAAAAAAATTATAATATTATTTTATTAAATTAAGAAAATTATATTATCATTTTATTAAATTAAGAAAATAACAATATTATCATTAAATTAAAAAATTATAATATTATTATTTTGTTAAATTAATAAAATTATAATATTATCATTTCATTAAATTAAGAAAATAACAATATTATCGTTTTATTAAATTAAGAAAATTATAATATTATTTTATTAAATTAAGAAAATTATATTATCATTTTATTAAATTAAGAAAATAACAATATTATCATTAAATTAAAAAAATTATAATATTATTATTTTGTTAAATTAATAAAATTATAATATTATCATTTTATTAAATTAAGAAAATTACAATATTATCATTTTATTAAATTAAGAAAGTCGTAATATTATCATTTTATTAAATTAAGAAAATTATAATATTATCATTTTAATAAATTGAGAAAATTGATATTATATACTTTCCACAAATTAAGAAAATCGATATTTTAATCTTCTTATAAATTAAGAACAAATATGCATCTACAGCTCTCTTCTTCACGTAATCCTATTGTGTTTCCCCCTTCGAAAATATCTGAATTTGTATGATTAAATATTCCAATAGGAGCTACCAGTTTATTACAGTTTAAACAGACTATCGAGTTTATTTGAAAAAAGTCACGTTCCTGACATGTGCGTGGGCCCCATGTATAACAGATATTTTCATTCATTTATTTACGTCAATATTTCCCGGATAAAGTCGAATACGGTGCGTCACAGTGAAACTGTTAAATACTTGATGAAAAAGATTCATTGATACATACATTTTTGCGTGGTTCAATTGCTCACAAATATTTACGGTATAAATGATTAGCGATTGACGATCCGTGACGCGAGCAGGTTAGTACATGTACTTCCAACCACCAGACAGACACACGTCAGTATCAGTGTCACTTGGCGTGACATATTGATGAAACGTGCTTCAGTGGTCGCGAAACGTTGAGACAGAATTTCTACTAAACGAAAAGCTTCAACGATCAAATTTACGGTTCTCAAATAAGCTCCGATTCGCTGAACAAATTACAGAATTTATTGTCTATTACATAAAATGGGACCAGAAGTTTCTATCTTCTTTTCATTTAACATCATCAAACTATAAAAAGAAACAACACTAATTTCACTAATTTCAAATTAAATTTAATATCAAACGTGAACTTAATTTTCCATTGTTTTTAGAAATTATTTCTTTCGAACGTTGGACAAATGAATAATTAAAAAATCCTCGACGAGCGTGGCGCGAGATTAATAGAATCAACCAACCACCTTCTCTCTGCGAGAAGATAATCGTCCCACCTTTCTCCCTGGAACGAAACGTCCAGTTTTCACAGGGAAGTTGCCAGCGAGTTCAGCTTGAAACTCCTCCGGTCAAAGAAGTCATTATCCAAACTAGAATTCACCCGCAGAAACGTAATCTCGTTCGAGGCTCGCCCGTTCAAACCGCGGAGAACCCAATTGAAAAAGTTTTTCTAATTATTGAATGCAACTGAAAGAAGATCAATTTGTTTCTATTGGAAGCGTGCGCGTTTTCTCTTGCCCTCTTCCCCTTGTTCGTTGCCGGGGAATGAAAGTTGATTTTCATATTAAATTGAACGTCCGGGGAAGAACTCGTCCGGTGAGCTAACGATGTGTCGTTTACACGCACGCGCCGGAATTATTCTTCCGTTCTCTTCCCGAGTCGAGGTTTTTCTAATCTAAAATTTCTCTGTGAAATACAGCGGGGCTGCAAAATTGAGACAATAACAAAAATTTCTTTAAGAAATATATCGTTTATCGTTGAGTAAAGTGTAAGAACATGAAAATAAACTTGACTATCTAATGAATGATGCTTCAGAAATGAAATGAAAACGCTCGATAATAATTTTAAATAAAGTAAACATACTTAAGAAGCAGAGGCTTCAAACTTAAGAAGTAAGTTCGAAATTCTGCGATTTTTCTTTGATAAAATTGCAACAGCTCGAGCATTTAGTGTTCATAATAATGTTAAACGAGAGTGAACATTATAGAATAAAATAAACAATGCTTGAGAAGTGGAATGTACTTAATAACTTTAATCGAAATAAAAATATTCGATGATAATTTCAAACTGAACAAAAACGCTTGATGATAGTTTTAAATAAAGCAAACATACTTGAGAAGCGAGATCAAAGTTCTGCGATTTTTCTTCTGAACTGCAACAGTTCGTTCACTGAACATTAACAAAAATACAGTGGGGTGTAAAATTGAGTCAATAACAAAAATCTTTAAGAAATATATCTTTTATCGTTAAATAAAGTATAAAAACATGAAAATAAACTTGACCATCTGATTCTTTATAGTTTCTTCCTGGTAGAAAAAAATTAAAAAAACATAGAATCAATTTTGCACCAGAATTTTCTCATAGTCAGATTTGCAAGCCTTTATTGTGCCTTAATATTTTGTCCATAAGCTATAATACAATAATTTCAAACAATCTTGAGCAGAAATCAGATGGCATTTGTTCCACTGTTCTATAACACGAGTATGTAGTTCCACTACTGAGATTTGTAGTTCCACTAGGAGGAGATTTGTATGCGTCTAGAATTTTTTTTTCAACATACCTAACATAACATACATATATTTTTTGTTCAACATACCATACACAACATACATATATCTCGTGTTATAGAATAGTGGAATCAAATGCTACCTGATTTCTGCTCAAGACTGTTTGAAAGCGTGCCAAGACGTATTAGAGCTATTATCTAAGCAAATGGCTTATGGACAAAATATTACGATAAAGCTTGTAAATCTGACTATGAAAAAATTCTGGTGCAAAATTGACTCTATGTTTTTCAATTTTTTCAGCCAGGCAGAAACCTAATCTCGAAAGTTAGAAAATAGCTTCAGTTTCCTAAAACTATAAAGAATCAGATAGTCAAGTTTATTTTCATGTTTTTA